ATCAATGGGGTCCAGTGGGGAGCTGAACCCCCAACTCCACCTGGTATGAGGAGGAAAGAGGTGGTGGGGGGTGGGAGGGTTGGCATTATACTTCCCACCTCCACCTCCCAAGGATGACAAGGCCCAGCCGGGAAATGAGCTTCAGCCACACCTCGCAGAAACAAAGCAGTGTGAGCTGCCCTCTACTTCTTCCCAGGTGGCAGTGGGGCCCAGATAAGCTTTTTCTCATGTTGTTGATCTTATCCCCCTGACTCAAGGCAACATGATAGTGCAAGGCAATGCCTCACTTTTACCACAAAAATGTCAAACAGAGCTGGTGAGAGAGCTTAAATTCCACTTCGTCATCTGGACTGAGGCATGTTTCTAAGCATTCCACTTTTGTCAGGGTGGTGTCAGTAAGGCTGAACAGGGAGCTGGGCATATACACTCACCTGGCTCCTGGGCAATGCTTCAACAGGAAGCCTGCCTGCCAAACAAGGAAAAAAAGGACCCAAAATGTCCAGAATACAGTTGAAAATCACTTGTCATACCAAGAATTAGAAAAGTCACAACTTGAATCACAAGACACAATCAACAAACATCAAAATGGAGATAAGTGAGAAGCTGAAAATTTCCAATAAGAATTTTAATTATAATGTGTCTTAGGACTGATTCCTAGAATAACTGGAATCATACAGAGAATGTTCTCTGCCCACAATGAAATCAAACTAGAAATCAAATAACAGAAAAGACAATGAGAAAAACTACAAAGACTTGGAAATTAGATGTCAAACTTATAAATAAATAACGAGTCAAATAAGAAGTCTCAAAGGAAATTACAAAACACATAGACCTGAATAAAAAGAAAATATATCAAAAAATATACATCTCTGCTGGTAAAGCAGAGATTTGCAAGAAATTTCTATCACTTAATGCTTAGAGAGGAAAGGCCTCAAATCAGTAATCCAGATTCTAACCTAGGTAAACTAGAAGAATAAGAGCAAAACACACATAAAGCAAGCATTGGACAGATAAAAATAAGAAAGTATATCAGTAAGATTAAAAACAGGAAAACAACAGTGAAAGTGATATAAGAAGCTGGCTCTATGAAAAAAATTAGTAAAACTGATAAACCTCTAGTAATACTGACAAAAATCTAAAAGAGACACAAATCACCCATAACAGAAATGAAACACAGCTATCACTACAGATCTGGCAAGACTGACAAAAACAAAAAAAGACACAAATCACCCATATCAGGAGTGAAACAGGAGCTATCACTACAGATCTGGAATCCATTTAAAGGATAACAAGGAACTAATACAAACAATTTAGAAGTTGTTGACATAAATTTGACAACTTAGAAAAATGAATCAACTCCTTGAACACTGCCAACTACCAAGACTCAACCAAGATGAGTAAGACAACCTGAGGAGTTCTGTAAAAATTAAAGAAATTGAATTAATAAACAAAAAGTTCCCCAAAAGAAATCTCCTGGCTTAAATGATCTCACTGGAGAATGCTACCAAACATTTAAAGAGAACGGGCACCAATTTTCCACAATGCCTTCCAGAAAATAGAAGAGGAGGGAACATTTCCCAACTCCTTTTATGAAGTGAACATTACCCTGATACCAAAAGTAGATAAAGAGAGTACAAAAAGAGAAAACTATAGTCCAACATCTCTCCTGAACTTAGAAAAAAAATCCTCAACAAAATAATGAGCAAATCAAATCCAGCAATGCATAAAAAGAATTATATACCACTACCAAATGAAATGTATTACAGGCATATAAGCCTTATTTAACATTAAAACATCAAAAAATATAATTCACCATATCAACAAGCTAAAGAAGAAAAATCATATGATCATATCAATTAACACAGAAAAAGCATTAGACAAAATTCAACACCAAATCATGATAAAAACTCTCAGCAAGTTAAGAATGGAAGGGAACTAATTCAACTTGTTATGGAAAACAAGCAGTGGCTCATGCCTGTAATCCCAGTATATTGGGAGGGCAACGCAGATAGATCACTTGAGGTCAGGAGTTCAAGACCAGCCTGGCCAACATGGTAAAACACCGTCTCTACCAAAAATACAAAAATTAGCCAGGCATGGTGGTAGGCACCTGTAATCCAAGCTACTCAGGAGGCTGAGGCAGGAGAATCACTTAAACCCAGGAGGCAGAGGTTGCAGTGAGCCAGATTGTGACACTGTGCTCCAGCCTGGGCAACAGAGAGAGACTCTGTCTCAACAACAACAATGACAAAACCTCCTAACATCATACCGAAAGGTGAATGACTGAATGCTTTTCCCCAAGATCAGGAAGAAGGCAAAGCTGCTGCTCTTATGACTCTTAATTCTGCATGGTAGAAGTTTTAGGCTACTATCATAAGGCAAGAAAAAAAAAAATAACAGCATATGAATTGGAAAGGAGAAAATAAAACTATCCTTATTTGCAGATATGATTGTTTACGTAAGAAAATCCCAAAGAATCGCCAAAAACTTCCATGAATGGAAAGTGAGTTCAGCAAAGTAGTAAGGCAAAAAATCAATTTCATTTCTACACACAAACAAAAAGCATTTGGAAACTGCAATTAAAAACACAATACCGGGCCACGCGCGGTGGCTCACGCCTGTAATCCCAGCACTTTGGGAGACCGAGGCGGGTGGATCACGAGGTCAACAGATCGAGACCATCCTGGTCGAAATGGTGAAACCCCGTCTCTACTAAAGATACAAAAAATTAGTTGGGCATGGTGGCGCGTGCCTGTAATCCCAGCTACTTGGGAGGCTGAGGCAGGAGAATTGCCTGAACCCAGGAGGCGGAGGTTGCGGTGAGCCGAGATCACGCCATTGCACTCCAGCCTGGGTAACAAGAGCAAAACTCCATCTCAAAAAACAAAAACACAATACCTAAGCCAGGTGTGGTGGCTCATGCCTGTAATCCCAGCACTTTGGAAGGTCAAGGTGGGTGGATCACCTGAGGTCAGGAGTTCAAGACCAGACTGGGCAACATGGTGAGACCGAGTCTCTGCTAAAAATACAAAAATTAGCCAGGCATGGTGGCAGGCGCCTGTAATCCCAGCTACTTAGGAAGCTGAGGCAGGAGAATCGCTTGAACCTGTGAGGCAGAGGTTGCAGTGAGCTGAGATCATGCCACTGCACCCCCATCTTGGGTGACAGTGAGACTCCATCTCAAAACAAACAAACAAACAAACAAACAACCACAATACCAGTTACATTCACCCCAAAGAAAATGAAATACTTAAGTATAAACTTAAAACATATATGAATCTATGTGCTGAAAATTATAAAATTCTGATGAAAGAAATCAAAGATATGAAAAAACGGAGAAATATATTACAATTATAAGATGCAACAAAGTAAACACGGCAATCTCCTCAAATTGAGAGACTTAATTCTTATCAAAATCCAGTAATATTTTTTGTTGACATAAATATGCTTATTTAAAATTGTATATAGAAAGTCACCGGTCCTATCTAAGATGATCTTGAAAAAGAGGATTAAGTGGGAAGAATCACTCTATCCAATACAAAGGCCTATTACCGAACTACAGTATTCATGACAGGGTGGTATTGGTGGAGGGACAGGTATATAGATCAGTGAAACAGAACAGTGAATCTACAAACACATTCACACAGCTTCAGGGGACTGGAATAGATGAAAAGTTCTGAAGACTTGACAGCAAAAGTGTAATCCATAAAAGAATATTGGACTTCATGAAAATTAAACACTTTTTCTCAGAGAAAGATCATATGAAGAGATGGAAAGGTAAGTTACAGAGTGGGAGAATGTATCTGCAAGCCATGTATCACAGCAAGATCTAATATCTAGAGTATATAAAGAACTCTTAAAACTCAACAGTAAAAAATATCCAATTAGTGGATAAAAGACGTGCACAGACTTGTAAAAAGAGAATATACAGATGGCAGATAAGCACATGAAAAGAGGTTATCATTATTAGCCATTAAGGAAATGCAAATTCAAACCACAAGAGACACCACTACAGAACTGCTCTAATGGCTAAAATAAATACTAATAAAACCTAAGGCTGGTGAGGATGCAGAGAAACTTGATCACTTGTACATTGCTGGTAGGAATGTAAAATGGTACAACTACTCTGGAAAATAGTTTGGTAGTTTCATATAAAGCCAAACATGCAACTATTATATGACCTAGAAAGTAAATTCTTGGGTATTTATTCCAGTATAATAAAAACCCATCTACACACAAAAATCTGTACATGAAAGTTTACAGCAGCTTTATTTGTAATAGCTCCAAACTGGCAATAATCCAGACACCCTTCAGTGAGTGAACTAATAAACACACTGTGGTACATCCATACTACAGAATAGTACTCAGCAATAAAAAGGAATCAACTATTGGTACACACAACAACCTGGATGAATCTCAAAGGAATTAGGCTGACTGAAATTACTTAACATCTCCCTCAGCTAACTTACTGCTGCAAGACCAGCAATATCAAAGCAGAAGCAGGGAGACTCCCACCTCAGAGCTTGTGATGGTTAGGAGGAGTAAAGGGCAACTGTGGTAGTAAGTGTTCAAGTCATGGCACTTGTCCTTGCCTGGGGTGCCATATAAAAATCAAAACAACATGGGAGAAAAAACAGTGGGAGAAGTAGGGCTGGAATGCTTCTGGATGTGCTACGTGGCAACAGCAACTAATGAAAGGAGAATGAAATTAAAGTTTGATTCATAAGTAGGTGTGTGATAAGAACAAATGCATCATCTCAGCCGATGATAATAATGCAGGAGACAAACACTGTTTGCAATACTCGAAGGAGTATTTTAAGAAGTTAAAAGGCCACGGTCATTATTCAGGATTTTGAAAAGGAATTCTAACATGCCAGCATGGTAAGGCAGTAAGACCTGCAACTTGGGATTCCAGTATGAAGAATAGCCCATTCATATAGTTACTTTCATTAAACACCAGCTTGCACAGAGCAACAGAAAGTATATTAAAGAGATATTACCTTTCATGTTTGCAGCATACTCACTGTTATTCACCATGGTAGAATACGGTTGTTCATTCTGAGGCAAGACTCCTGCAGCCATGGTAGCCTGTTGGAAAAAAAAATGTTTTTTGTAAGAAAAATCAACACACAAAAATCAATTTCATTTCTACACACAAACAAAAAGCATTTGGAAACTGCAATTAAAAACACAATACCGGGCCACGCGTGGTGGCTCACGCCTGTAATCCCAGCATTTTGGGAGACCGAGGCGGGTGGATCACGAGGTCTACAGATCGAGACCATCCTGGTCGAAATGGTGAAACCCCGTCTCTACTAAAGATACAGAAAATTAGTTGGGCATGGTGGCGCGTGCCTGTAATCCCAGCTACTCGGGAGGCTGAGGCAGGAGAATTGCCTGAACCCAGGAGGCGGAGCTTGCGGTGAGCCGAGATTGCGCCATTGCACTGCAGCCTGGGTAACAAGAGCGAAACTCCGTCTCAAAAAACAAAAAAACAAAAACACAATACCAAAATCCAAAAGACATTGTTTTATATATGTTGTCCAGTTTTCTAGTTGTTTTAGGCAGAAAGGTATTAATAAATCTAGTTTCTCTTATTTCATCTTGGTTGAAAGTGAAAATCCCCTCTGGCCTTCTTCAAATAAGTCAAATCCAGGGGTACTGTGAAATAGTGCCAAATATGCATTACCTATGCATAAAACCGTTCATTTATAGTCCAACTATATGTAACTGCAGATCAAAAATTACATTTCAAGTATGTTAAACTATATTTTAGAATCAAAAGTTCTGTGTTTAAGTCTTGACTCTTCATTCACTGTCAGCTATACGAACCATTCTGAGCTTCAGTGTGTTCTATAAAATGAAGACTACAATATTTACTCTCCTTGGTTGTTGTGAGGATAAAGACGGGGGGTGTGTGTGTGTGTTCCTACCATAATACCTGGCTTTTAAGTATTTTTAAATAAATACTTGTTATTTTAATTTGCAAACCAGTATCTGCAATATCTTTTTGCGTTTTACCTTCTTAGTCTGTACTCACTTTATTTTCCTCCTATCTGTATAAGAATTTGAATAGGATTCCATTCATACCTGTCCAATATTCCTATTAATAGTAATAGGCTGGGTGCAGCGGTTCATGCCTGTGACCCCAGCACTTTGGGAGGCTGAGGTGGGCAGATCAGTTGAGCCCAGGAGTTCAAAACAAGCCTGAGCAAGATGGCAAAACCTTGACTCTACAAAAAAAAAAATTTTTTTTTAATTAGCCAGGCATGGTAGCACGTGTCTACTGTAGTCCCAGCTACTTGGGAGGCTGAAGTGGGAGGATTATCTGAACCCAGGGGGTTGAGGCTGCAACCTCAGTGAGCCGTAATTGTGTCACTGCACTCCAGCCTCAAAAACAAAAAAGAAACAAATGTTAGTAATGGGAAACTCCTCTGACTTATAAAAACATTATTTCCATTCACAACTCAACTTATTTCATATGTCTGATTGTAGAATCAGGAGAAGGGTTTGAATAATAAAACTGTCATTTCACTGCACAATCAATATTATTTAAGTCTATTTCCTGTTGTCAATGACAGACATTTTGCTCACCCAGGCCTATGGTTTCCTTTTATCCCTAAAAACACCCAAATTACTCAACTGTTTAGAAATAGCCATACAGTCAGTAATTAGTACAGAATACTTAAAACTTAAGTGCAAGAATGGACTATCACTCATTCTAAGAAGAATAGAACACAAAGAACGTTCTACTTTATAAAAGTTGTTTCACACAGAGACTATGTTCTGAGATGGATTGAATAATTCTTAGGTCACTACTTTCCTTTCTGTTTCTCAGACACATGGTGTTCTGACAAAATCTACATGTGTATTTTTTGAACAAATTTGTCAGGGAACTACATTAAGCAGTGCCTGGGAGATCAGAAAAGGTATAATCCTTCCCAGACTCTCATAGCACTAGCTCTCCAACTCTGGAATGCACCAGGATTATGCAGGATGTTTGTGGAAATGCAAATCTGGAGGAATGTAACAATCTGTATTATCAGTTTATACTCCAGGTGATTCTGATGTAGGAGGCCCTCTGCCCACACTTAAATGAATATTGTCAGTGTGATTAGAGTCTAGACAGCAATCATAACAGAAGAATTTGAGGTTGAAAAACTTAAGCTTACATGGGAAAAAACAGCAGTGGAAGCCCAACTACCTGAATGAACTTATAAAAGCCATAAAAATATTTTTATGCTCTTTAATAATATAATATTATTATAATAACTAAATCACATAAGCTCACTCCATGCCAGGTACTGTTCCAAGTGCTTTATATAATCTTAGCTCAACTAATCCTCACCACACATTGAGCACTACTAACATTCCCATTTGTTTTTAAAATAGAGGGTTGTTGTTTTTTTTTTGGAGTCTCGCTCTATTGCCAGGCTGGAGTGCAGTGGCACAATCTCAGCTCACTGCAACCTCTGCCTCCCAGGTTCAAGCAATTCTCCTGCCTCAGCCTCCCAAGCAGCTAGGATTACAGGCATGCGCCACCGCGCCCAGCTAATTTTTGTATTTTTAGTAGAGATGGGGTTTCACCATTTTGGTCAGGCTGCTCTCGAACTCCTGACCTTGTGATCTGCTCACCTCAGTCTCTCAAAGTGCTGAGATTACAGGCGTGAGCCCCCGTGCCAGTTTTGGGTTCACAGCAAAATTGAGCAGAAGGTACAAAGGCTTCCCATATACCCATGTTTCCCCATCCCCAACATAGTGAGGTACATTTGTTAATCAACTTACGTTGATACATAATTATCACCCAAAGTCCGGATTTAACCTTAGGGCTCACTCTGTGTTGTACATTCTGTGGGTTTAGTAAAGGTATAATGACATGTATCCACCATAATAGTATTATGCAGAGTGGTTTCACTGCCCTAAAAATCCTCTGTGCTCCAACTATGAATCTCTCCCTCAAAACCCTAAGAACCACTGATCTTTTTACCATCTCCATGGTTTTGTCTTTTTCAGAATGTCACGGGGTGGAATCACACAGTAGGTAGCCTTTACAGATTGGCTTCTTTCACTGGATAATGTTCATTTAAGGTTCCTGCATATCTTTTCATGGCTATTAAACCTTAAATGAATATTATTCACTTATTTTTAGCAGTGAATAATATTCCTTGGTATGGATATATCACAGTTTATTTATCCATTCACCTATTGAAGCACATCTTGGTTGCTTCCAAGTTTAAGCAATGATGAATAAAACTGCTATAAACATTCATGTGCAAATTTCTGTGTAGACCTAAGTTTTCCGCTCATCTGAGTAAATACTAAGTAGCACAACTGCTCATCGTACAGTAAGCATGTATTCAGTTCTGCATATTATTCCTGTTTATAGATGAGGAAACTAAGACAAAGAGAAGTCAAATAATTTGCCTAAAGTTACATACATATTAAGCATGAAAAGCGGAATTTGAATTCCCACAGTTCAGCACCAGAGTTTGTGCTCTTAAGAACTACACATAGTTTCTGAACAATAAAGACCTATTAAAGAATAAAATTTGAACAAACAGAGTTTTAAAGATCTAACTGGCTTTTATTCACAATTCATGAACTGGGCAATATAATATCTACTCTACAAAATAGAAAGGAGCTCCATTGGGTGTGGCAGGTCAACTGGCTTTTTTTTTTTTTTTTGAGATGGAGTTTCACTCTTGTTACCCAGACTAGAGTGCAACGGCACGATCTCGGCTCACCGCAACCTCCGCCTTCTGGGTTCAAGCAATTCTCCTGCCTCAGCTTCCCAAGTAGCTGGCTGTAGCAGAAACAGGAAAACAGCCCGGTACAAAAAGCAGGTTACTTTCCTGTATGAGTTTAAGCAGAAGAGATTTCCTTATGCTGGCAGGTTGACTGGGCCCCTTCTCATTGGTCACTACAAATCTCCTGTTTGTTTTGCTTTTTTTTCTAGAAAACTGGCCCATTTGAGGATTTCCTACTGGTTTATTTTTTAAGTTTCAGTTTAATTATGTGGCATGTACCATGAATGACTCCATTTTGGTTTGGTCTATTAGGGTCTCACACAGGAACTTGGTCCAAATCAATGGGCTTGCATAAATTTTATTTACCAAATCCCACATTAAATAGAAATTTTATTGTTATTTATGTATTTTAAATCAGATTCACTTAAATCAGATGCATTTTTGTACCATTAATTTCCATTTATAATTCCTTCACTTAAAGACACTTTGCAGCTATCCCTATTTATGAGATTTTAAGTCTGTTTTCCTTTGTATAGATATTAATAATTTACCGATTTTTTAATCCAAATTTTCACTCACTGTTGTCTCAAAGATAAGTATCAGGAATGTGGCCCCTTTACACATTTTAGCCTCCTACCTCCTAACAGAAACGAGAATGCTAGTCTTGTTTATAATTTAAGATTATAATTCAAGATTATAAAATCCAAACACATTTTCAATAGAGGAGTTGGCACTTATTAGCTTTGTGATCTTAGGCACATATATTAATATCTCTGAGACTTATTACCTACCATACTGGGTCATTGTAAAGATGACATGACAACCTATATGCAGACCTAATTCCGTCCTCAACATGTAAGTCAGTCTTTCTCAATATAGCCGCCACGGTAATCCTGTGAACTTTAGCCAGTCATGTGACCCCTCTCTTCAAAACCCTCCACATCATCCTAATTAAAATTTAAATCAACTCCTCCTCATTTCATTTTTCTCCATAGGACTTATGGAGAAAACACATCTAACACATTATATACTTTATTTATTTGTCCTGTCTATTGTCTGCCTTCTCCTACTGGAATGTAAGCTCCATGAAGGAATAGATTTTTTTGTCTGCTTTGTCAATTGCTTTATCTCCAAAGCCTAGAACAGGACCTGCACATAGTGGTACTCTGTATTTGTTGGATGTATGCCTGAATAAACATTCAATAAAAGGTAACTGCCACTACCACCACCAACACTATTATCACTTAATCTCTCTGAATGTCAGCTTTTTCATCTGTAAGTTGGAGCTTACCCATCTCAGGGTTATTACTAAGAATATATATATAATTATCTGGGAGCACTACACAAATACAAGAAATAGGATTATCCTTATTTAGTCTTCCTAATCACATTTATATCTAACTTCCTGCCCATTTTCTAAATGACAGATTTGTGTTCCAATTCCCTGAGGGTTGGATTTGTTTTCTTCTCAGCCAAATATGCATGACAGCAGTAACCTCAACCCTCAGCCCAAATTTACTCTCCTTTAGGATGCCTTCCCTAATACCAATTACATATTTCACTCACATCCCTTCATCAGGTGTGGCTGAGTGAAGATCTACTGTATCTAGGTTTATGTGGCTCAGATGCTATTAAAAACAGCCTCTTAATACCACTGTATCATTTTCTTCTTAAAGAATTAAAGCACTGTTTATGATTCCTTATGTAGTAAAATTAAACAAAAATAGACTATTTTAAACTGAAATGTCCTCACCTCTGAATTTATAAGCTAAAAAATGACACGACTATATAAAATTTCTTTTCTTTTCAAATCATCCTGGAGGAAGCCAGGCAACATTAAAAAAAAAAACTTTTTTCCTTTTTCAGACCCCTCAATATTTCTGGTTAGGTTAGTCCTGGGGAAAGGAGTGAGAGCCACCTAGAAATGTTATATCTGGCAGTTTACTACACTATTACCTTCACTGGCTTCTGTGATTTCACACCTCAAATACACCCTAGAGAAGTCTCCAAGGCTCTCAGGAGACTAGTCACAGACTGGGGAAAAACAACACTTCAGCAGGAACCCTGTTATTTCATCATTTAAAGAAATAGGCTATTTGATTTGGATTCTTCAGAAAACACATTATAATAAAGAATGGGTAAGATGTTAACTATAGATAAAGCTGTTTTTTACAACTAAGGTTTCTGTATTTCCTATCCTTTTTCCCACAAGCAGCCACACATGACTTATTTGATTGAAACTTATTCCCATAGGTTCGATCAACCTCAAATCAAAGACACTACCAAAGATACTTCTAAGTTCATAAAAAAGCCAACAATTCCTAATTAACATCCAACAAATCATCTGGATGGCTTGCTTAAAATCTCAAACTGCTGGGCACCCCCTCTAGAGTTTTGGACTTAGTAGTTACAGGGTGGAACTGAGAATTCTGCATTTCTAATTCATTTCCATGTGATGCTGGTGTTTTCAGAACCACTGTACTGGGTAAGCAGTTTGCCTTTACCTAACAGCAAGTATTCATGTTCACACAGGTTACTAAGAAGGTCTGTCTCCTGGGTTCTGTTTAGTTGTCAAACACTAAAAACCTTCTTTTTACAATTCCTAAGCCAACCTTCACAAAATCATGAAATACAGTAAGAAGACCTACATCACCAACCAGATCTAAAAGGAGGCTCATATTCCTGGATGAGACGTGGCTACCAAAATTCTGTTTTAGGATAAAGACATCACTTGAAATCTGAGCATTGCTATATAGGTGGTATCAACAAGATCAAAGAATCCCCAAATATCAGACACTTTTTAGTGAAGTGCCAGATACCACAGTTTGGACACCATAAAGTGACTTTATAATCAATAATGTTCATTATCTGAATATCCATATTAATAAATATATAATTACAGATACACAATTATATTTACCTTTGAATACATCTTTTGTGACATTGCTTGAAATATTTTTCAATTAATAATTTCTGGGTGGGAGCAGTGGCACATGCCTGCAATTCTAATACTTTGGGAGGCCGACATGGGAGGATTGCTTGAGCCAAGGAATGTGAGACCAGCCTGAGCGACATAGTGAGACCACATCTCTACAAAAAATAGAAAAAATTAGCCAGGTGTGGTCCCAGCTATTCAGAAGGCTGAGGCAGGAGGATTGCTTGAGTCTGGGAAGTTGAGGCTGCAGTCAGCTATGATCACACAACTGCACTTCAGCCTGGGTGACAGAGTGAGATCCTGTCTTAAAAAAGAATAATAATAATTTCAGCTAGTTCGACAGGAAAAGCTCAAAATACTGAGTATAGTAGAATTTGTTATTCACTTCATCCCTATTTATATGCAAACTAGGAAGGATAACAAGATTTTCTACTTCTTCAATTCCTGAACTATTTCTCTATTTTTCTAATAGTTATTCTGGGAAATATATTTCATGTGTCTGGGAGGCAAGCCTGGATGTCTCAAAACACAGGCGGGTGTCTTAAAACACAGGCAGGTGTGTAGCTCTTGGGAATTCAAAGTCTTAGATCAGATTATCCATAGCAAGATACACAGGACATTTGGTTTAGGTAGTGATTGAACTCATATATTAGCCTTCCCTTCCTCCTGAGACTCTGGTGAAAAGACTGGTAAAGAAATTTTATAAAGAATAAGCCCACAGAGCAAGGAACAAGAGCTGGTTATCCAAGAACCTGCTCTTTAAACTTCCCTTCAAAAATGAAGGCGAGCTGGGTGCAGTGGCTCATACCTGTAATCCCAACACTTTGGGAGGCCAAAGTGGGTGGATCACCTGAGGTCAGGAGTTCAAAACCAGCATGAGCAACATGGTGAAACCCCATCTCTATCAAAAATACAAAAAAATTAGCCAGGTGTGGTGGCACATGCCTATAGTCCCAGCTACTTGGGAGGCTAAGGTAGGAGAATCATTTGAACCCAGAACATGGAGGCTGCAGTGAGTTGAGATCATGACGTTGCACTCCAGCTGACAAAGAAAAAAAAGTCTCAAAAAAAAGAAAAGAAAATTAAAGAGAAATTAAAACATCTCAAGATTAAAACAAAACAAAACTAAACCTGAGAGAATCTGTTGGTAACAGACCTACTCTAGAAGAAAAAGTAAAGAGAATCCCTTAGGCTGAAATGAAAAAACAGTAAATTTTAATTCTCAAATCCATACAAAGAAATAAAGAACACCAATAAAGATAACTAAATCAATATTATAAAAATACATATATGGAGCCGGGCGTGGTGGCTCACGCCTGTAATCCCAGCACTTTGGGAGGCCGAGGCGGGTGGATCACGAGGTCAAGAGATGGAGACCATACTGGTCAGCATGGTGAAACCCCGTCTCTACTAAAAATACAAAAAATTAGCTGGGCACTGTGGCGCGTGCCTGTAATCCCAGCTACTCAGGAGGCTGAGGCAGGAGAATTGCCTGAACCCAGGAGGCGGAGATTGGGGTGAGCCGAGATCGCGCCATTGCACTCCAGCCTGGGTAAACAAGAGCGAAACTCCATCTCAAAAAAAAAAAAAAAATACATATATGTAGCTTTTTTCTTGACCTGTTTTAAAATATACCTGCATAAAGCAAAATTATAAAAATGAGTTAATGAGCTTATAATATATAAAGATGTAATTTGCATTTATAAAATGGTACAAAAGAGGTAGAAGTGAATGAAAGTACACTAAAGGAAAGTTTTTGCATACTATTGAAATTAAGTATTAATCTGAAAGGGACTGTTTTAAATTAAGATGCTAATTGTAATCCTAAGAGGAGGCACTAAAAACATAAATTAAAAAATGCAGAAAAGAAACAAGGAAATGAAAAGGTATGATAGAAAATATCTAACACAAAAGAAGTCAGGAATTGAGAAATAAAGGAACACAAAAGACATAAGCTATAAAAAAGGTAGGCAAATAAATCCTGATTTATCAGTAATTACATTAAATTAAAATGGATTACATATCCCAATCAAACAGCAGAGCCTGGCAGAATGGATTATAAAAATGAACCAACTATGTTATTGACAAGAGATACATTTTAGATTTAAAGACATGAATAGACTGAAAGTAAAAAGATGAAAACAGATATACCATGCAAGCAGTAATCAAAATAGTGCTGACATGGCAATACTGATGTTACACAAAATACTGTAAGACAAAAATTGTTTCGAGACAACAGAACATGTTATCATGTTAAGAGTCAGTTAATAAGGAAGATATAATAATTATAAACATTTGTGCAATTAAGAGCAGAGTCCTAAAATACATAAAATAAAAACTTACAAAATTGATGGGAGAAATATACAATTCAACAATAGGTAGAGACTTTAATACCCTATTTTCAAAAATGGACAGAAAAACAAAACAGAAGATCAACAAGAAAACAGAAGAACACAATGAATTAGCTAATCCTAAGAGATGCTGTGGAGACAAAAGTAACTCCATTTGTGATGCTAATTCACCATACTGACCTCTGACTAGCCCCAGTCCTGTGAATGCCTCCTGATTCCCACTTTATTTACTGTCCCTAGTATAAAAACATCTACTCCTGCTTTTAGATCAAAGCAACCTTGATGTTATCACATAAATTATAGGCTATAATGAATTTAGCATCCTTGACTATACTGGAGGGTTGCCTTTGTTTTGCTACAGTAGGTATACCCTTTCCCTATGGTATATAAGCCCTGGGTCTGAGGAGTAACAGTACAGATATCCAGCTGTCTTGTGGCTGCCAAAGACCACAGTTCTATAAGTTCCCTAAATCAATCCATCAATACCAACAAACTAAATCTGTCTGCCTCCTTCTCTGGTTTCTCTGCTCTTTCAGCATTTGGGGGTCATTTTGCATACTTAGTCCTTTTACAGAACAGACATCTATAGAAAATTCCAGACCCAACAACAGCAGAATATACATTCAGTGCACACGGAACCTTCTCCAGGGTAGAACATATAACCATATGCTAGGCTATAAAGCAAACTTCAATACACTAAAAAGGAATGAAATCACAATGTATGCTCTCTGACCATAATGAAATTAAATTAGAAGTCAACAACACAGAGAAAATGTGGAAAAATCATAAATATATACCAGTTGAATAACACTTTTAAATAACTAATGGGTGAAGGTCAAAGAAAAACATGTTTAAATAAGTAAGGGGTGAAGGTTAAAAAAAATACAGTGGAAAATATAAAATACTTTTGAGTTGCCTGAAAACAAACATACACAATACCAAAACTTAGGGAATGAAGCTACGGCAGTGTACAGAGAAAAAATTATAGCTCTAAGTGCATATTAGAAAAGAAGAAAGATCTCAATCAATAACCTAACCTTCTACTTTAAGTAACTGGAAAAAGAAGAGCAGAACAAACCCCCAAACAAGCAAAAGGTAAGTGCTATGTCTGAATGTATACCCCAAAGTTCATGTGTTGGAAATTTAATTTCTAATGCAACACCATTAAGAGATGGGACCTTTAAGAGGTGATTAGGTCATGAGGGCTCCCTCATGAATGGATTAGTACTATTATCACAAGAGTGAGTTCCTAATAAAAGGATGAGTTCCACGCCTTTCTTTTCTAACACACATGCTTTTATACCCTTCTGCCTTCTGCCATTGGATGATGCAGCAAGAAGGCCCTCATCACATATGGGTCTCTTAACCTTGGACTTCTCAGCCTCCAGAAATGTAAAAACATAAGTCTTTTCTTTAGAAATTTCCCAGTGTGTGGTATTCTGTTATTGCAACACAACACAGACTAAGAAAGTGGGAAATAAAAAAGATTAAGGTGGCAATAAATAAAATAGCAAAAGGTAAACCAATAGAGAACATCAATGAAACCAAAAGTTGTTTCTTTGAAAAGAGAAACCAAATGGACAACTTTTTAGTTAGACTAACCAATGAAAAGAGAATACTCAAACTACTAAATCAGAAATAAAAGAGGTAATGTTATAACCAAATACAATAATAAAAAGGATTATAAAAAATACTATGAAAAAAAGTATGCAGCTAAATAGGTAATGAAGGTAAAATAAACTCCTGGAAAAGTATCAAAAATGCCTCAAGAAGAAATAGAAAATCTGAAGAAACCCATGGCATGTAAAAAAAACTGAACTACTTCAAAACCTTTCCACAAAGAAAAGCTAGGTTTCACTGATGAGTTCTATCAAATATTTAAAAAGGAACACCAATCCTCAAACTCTTTCAAAAGAAGGAAGAGGAAACATGTAAGAATGCATTCAGTGAGCAATATTACACTGATACCAAAATGAGAAAAAGACATCACAAGAAAATCAAGGACCAATCTTATATGAATATAGATGCAAATATCCTAAAAAATTTAGCAAACCGAATCCAACAACATAAAAAAAGAATACACACCATGACCAACTGGTATTTATTTCAGGAATGCAAGGTTGGTTTAACATTCAAAAATCAATTAATGTAGAATATTAATAGAATAGAATATTAACAATTATTAATAGATTAAATGACAAAAACCACATGACCATCTCAATAGACAAAGAAAAAACATCTGAGAAAATCTGTCTTTCAAGATAAAGATTCTTAATAAACTACGATTATAAACAAATTTCCGTAGCCTGATACACAGCATCTATGAAAAACCCACAATTAACATCATACTTGACAGCAAAAAACTTAGGGCTTTCCCCCTAAAATCAGAAATAAGAATATATACTCTAACTAGCAGTATTCAACATTGTAATGGAGGTTCCAGCCAGTGTAATAATGTAAGAAAAGGAAATGAGGCCAGGTGCGGTGGCTCACGCCTGTAATCCCAGCACTTTGGGAGGCTGAGGCTGGCGGATCACAAGGTCAGGAGATGGAGACCATCCTGGCCAACATGGTGAAACCCTGTCTCTACTAAAAATACAAAAATTAGCTGGGCGTGGTGGCGCACACTTGTAATCCCAGCTACTCAGGAGGCTGAGGCAGGAGAATTGCTTGAACCCAGGAGGCGAAGGTTGCAGTGAGCTGATATTACGCCATTGCACTACAGTCTGGCACCTGGCGACGGAGTGAGACTCTGTTTCAAAAAAAAAAAAAAAAAAAAAAAAAGAAAGAAAAAGAATGAAAGG